TGAGAAATACAATCCCCTTACACACTCATCCTTTATCTTGTTTAACATCCCACACCCCTTAGTTTATTTCCTTCCTTGGTCCTTTAATACCTCACTGCCTTGACTTTATTCTTTATCTGTTTCATTCACATTTTCCTCTTTTAGATTTAGTTTCTACAAATCAATACTATGCATTACAATTGTGGGTCCTTTTTGCTCTTTGTTAAAAAGAACATTTTTGATAACTTATGTCAAAAATTAGTGTATAAGGAAAAGATTAAATAATGTGTATTGGCTCGACTGGTAATGTGTCCTGCTCATCCAGCATAAGGAGCTCATTGATCTTTTGCGACAAGTTCACAGATTTTCAGCTTGTGCAAAGAAAGAAAACACTTTTACTTTGCGTGGTAAAGTAAGGAAGATCTCTGAAAACATTTAAGCCAATTTTTACCAGAAACATTTACATTTGCGAAGAATCCTGTTGCCCTTTTCTCTTGAGATAAAAAAAATTCATCAGATTGTTACTGAAAGGCTGTGGTAAATCCCTTTTTTGTCTACCAAGACCTTGCAGATATGGACCTTTTGCTTGAGGCATGTACTTTTTGCCTTGTAGATTTCAAGTTCACAAGGTTAGACTGCTTTAAAATATCTAATTAAACCTTCGTCAGCTACAATGTACACTTATAACATGCTCCTGAAAGTACTGTTTGTTTCATATAAAGGCTTSTTGCAGATGATTAAACTTGCTGATGGCATCTGCCTTGTCAGCAGACTAAACCATGAATACCAAATGATAGGGCAACAGGAGCTAAATGAAACCAAATTTAGCTAATCAATTATTTACACAATAAGTCAATAATTCAATAATGAAAACTACTGCAGTGTATACTAGCAGGCAGTAAACTCCTTGTTTTTTTTAGCTTTTCACTCTCTTATAACATCATTACTGTCTTGCTGTGCTTTCACAGTACAAAAACGTGACACCTTGTTATTTGCATATGCATGTGTACATATGTAGCAGAATATGCCCCATGAGTAGCATCTGCTGCTGCTTGACTACAYGTTTGCAGACGCTCTGTATAAAAAAGTGTGGGATTCACATCTGCTGCGGGAAGCTGTGCTACTCCTCAGAGACAGTGGTATCTCAGCCACTCCARGCACCAGTGTCTGTGTTGGACCAGATCAACATGTCTCAGCCTTGCTAAGATAACTGCTGCAACTGCTACTAATAGGGATTAAAGGACAAAAAAGATATATTTTGAATGAAATCTTTTTCTATACCTAGAATTTACTTGAGAATCATCACCCCCACCATTCATTAGGGTTGGGCAATATTGGCAAAAAAATTCATCACGATTAATTGTGGTATTTAGTCGATAACGATTAATTTGACGATTAATCCCCTGGAGTTCCTTATGTCCTAATCACATGACCAATTTAGTGGGAAAGATTTGCTCTTCATAAAAATCTATTTCAAATTATGTCAAAATTACAGACTTCAGGCTATACATCAAATTTTAAATTGTGTTGATAAATAAATAAATTACAGAACTTTTTTTAATGCCCGTCATATTTGAAGCGAAGAGGAGCATCGAGCGGACTGACTGGGGAAATCTCCACTCAGTCTGCCTGGAGGCAATAATCGTATTAATCGTGAAGTGCCAAAAAATAATCGATTATTGTTTTTCTGATGATTAATTGCACACGATACGATTATGCCCAACCCTACCATTCACTTAGGAGCATGTATATAAGAGTACACTGTGTATGCAAAATACACAGCATTATGCTATCTAATGAAGAGTTCTTCTGCATCATGTCAGGCAGCTCACTAACTTTGCCTGTCATTGTCCCTACACTTAGAGTTGCCACMCTCAAGGATAGACCTGCAAGGTCCAAGCCACTAATCCCATCTGCTCCCCGTCTAAATTTAACGGCACTTTTAATGGCATGAGGTGTGTTAATAAGGAATGCGGGCAGTTCCATTGGGATGCTTAGCCCATCTGGGAAGTGAAGAATTGAAAGCATGCAAAGCATGGTGGCCCACCAGGGCCGCCATGCTTTACATACTTCACCATGCAAACCATGCATGCAAACCATGCTTCACCATGCTTCACCATACATGCTTCACCATGCTTCACCATGCAAATCCAATTTGTGTGATTCTGTACTTTTTTTCCTCAAAACTGAGTGATTCCATAATTTTTCCATGTGCTTGGTCAATAAAAGGAACATTCACTGACTTCCACAATGTTTTCTCTTCATTTMTTTGAGTGTTCCTGAAAGYCAACAAGTTGCACTTTGGAAYGACCTTATTATTGTATCATGTTTTGATCTGAGTTTGTTTTACAGAATGGAATGTCTGAATGGGTGCTCATCCAAGACTGGTGATTCCATACTTTTTGCCAGGGATTGTACTATTCTTTTCGATTCTCCTTTTGACTTGGCARTTAACAAAAAGTAATCAAAAATATATGAGTGCCCTCTATGGGAAGAGAGTGGTGATCGCCTGTGAGTTACACTAACTTATCATTACTTTACCATTACACCCCTAATGGTTAGAAAGGGAAAAGTTACTTTTCCAAAGAAAATATTGTAAATGCTTGGATCTGTGTTAAAAGCATTAAACAGGTTGTGGCACAGTTAAAATGTATACTGATATTGGGTCCCAGGGATTAAATCACAGGCAGTAGTTGTTTTTATTCTTGCTTTTACTAAACCTGGTCAACAGTAAAGGAATATTAGACCAAATAAATGGGGGAGCCAAAMAATTAAATGACTTCATAAATCGACCGCCTTGGTTTGTAAAGATTTGCCAGTTAAACCCTAATTGGTCGACCTCTAGGTATCACAGTGGGTGGTTTATTTTGAAATGATCTGTGGGAAAAAATTAGAGGCTTTATCATAGAATTCCTTGACTGCAACAGGGATGAGATTGTAACTAGTCCTGGCTGAGTGTGATAGAGCATGACGTCCATCCCTCTTAATAATAGAACCATCTTGATAGCGGCTCAATCAAGCTCAGTCTGGTCCCTTGTCTCTCTGCGGGAATCTGGAATGGTCTGATGTTACTGCTGCCACTGCCTGATACTGCACCACTCATTTATATTTCAGAGGGRCTCTGCTGAGAGGGTGTGTAAGAAAAATGAATAAAGTGAAATGGAAAATGTCATGGGACAAGTATTGCTTTAATTTTGTGCTCTAGTTTTGGGYTCTGGCTAGTGGAGTGAAAACTATTCAGTCAGGTGTGAAGCTTTTGTGCAAGCAGGTTTTCATACTGGATAGATATCATATGCACACCACATTAATGTTTGACATCATCAGAGAATGCCAGAAAGATGTCTTAGATAAGATGTATGTTTTGAACTAATCCTTTATGAAATTTAATATGGAMCTTTGGTGTGAACGGCAGAGAAATATATTTTTCATAGTTTAGGACAGAAAGCACCAAGAAATGAGGCCATTAAGAACAGAAATGTTTCAATTCCACATGGAATTTAGGTTTCACTCAGAATGACTCCTGTCCAGTTCAAAATAAATAATATGTGACGGCCCTGAAAGGAAAACTCACACTCTGGAAGGAATCCCTGCCACTGTAGTATGATTTAGACCCAAAGGCATATAGGAGTCGGGAAAGGGCTTTCAGGTCAACTAATGCCTGAAAAGATATTGGAAGTTATTATACTGAGGAGAGGAAACTTGGTGTGAACTTTGAAGAGCCATACTTTAACCACTACAGGCACTAATGTGGGTCATTGTCACTCTGCATACATGTATGTTTATCAATCTGAATGTGAATATTTTACGAGTTACAACAAATCAGGTGTCACTTTAAAGGTAACTAAAGCAACAGCATTTGTTTTTCTTTTAGAAATACAGCGTGTTGAATGGCTTTGCTGAAGAAGCTGAAACYGATGTTGTTAAATTAAAACACTGGTTAAAAGCTAAAAAAAATTACCAAAGTACTAGCAAAGATCCAAAAGTAGAAAAGTGTAGTAAAAAACACAGTATAGTGTATGTTTAGGGTGGCCAGACATTCCTGATTTCCGGGACAGGCCCCATTTTGAACTATCTGTCCCTGGAAAAAGCTGTCCTCAAAAATGTCCCAAAGATTAGCGTTTATGAATGAGAAAAAAAATCTTTCACATAGACTATTTACAGTATATGGTTGCTGGATAGAAAGTGCGAGTGAGCATGTTGCCCGCAACAAATGTAGCTGGTGGCAATGCTGTCAATGTTACAATGTAGAAGAGCCAAATGAATATTAGACCAAAATGAATCACCTTTTAAAAAAGGCTGTGTAGCTGCAAGGGATGCTTAAGTCTGTGCTATTGGCTGTAAAATGACACCATGAGTGACAGGTACTTCCTAGGTGTGTAACAAGAAAGCATTTTCTTTAAAAAGGGTGTGTGACAAAGTGTGACATCATTGAAATTTGACTTTGTTGTGTTAGATTTGTAGCAACTAGCAAAGTCTACAATGAGTAAAAATGCTAATTTATTAGCAAAATGTAGTCAAAGGCTAACTACAAGTRCTAAAAGGCTGAATAAAAACTACATGTATCAAAAGAACGAAAGCTTAAAGCAGCAAAATGCTAGCCAAAAACTAAAAGCAGCATTAAAAGACAAAATAAAAGCAAGTATGCTATGCCTAAAGAGAACAATRCTTTTGAAGTAGGTGAAAATATTTCAATGTATTTTTATGGGAAATGTATTTGTGATTAAAGGTAAATATTCTGAAAAGTACATTTTAGAAAACTCAGAAGTCATCCATCTCTACCTTTTCCTTTAGTAGCATYCATCTACTGAATAAGTTAAATGTTTTGTTATATAAATGGCTAAAATAGCACCAAGTTTGCTGTGGTTAAACTGCAAAAAATGTACAAAATATTATTAAACAGGAACATAATAGTCTAAATGCCGAATCCTCATTCACACAATTATGTATTGGATAATTGTTTGTTCATCTTGTTCCTGGATATATGTAAAATACTTTAAAAGTACTTAAAATTCTTTAAATACCTTAAATGGAAGGAAGAGAGAGTTGACGGTTGCTAGAAGAGCAGCGGTGTCTGAAGCATCCCTCTGGCCACAGATCACAATCTGAAGGTAAAAGGTGGAAAGAAACAAAAATAAGAAGGTAATAAAAAAAAGAAAAATGATAAGAGGAAAGTGTATGAACAGAGTGAAAAATAAGGGTGAAAGGTGAAACTAAAGAGGATGGAGATGGAAGGGAAGTCATAAAAGTCAGAACTGTATTTTTAACAGTGACAAGAGTGGCAGGTGTTTTCTGTGAGATTGCTTCACATTGCCTCAATTCTTGCTTGTTACCCTTGCCCTATCGACCCAAGTTATCCTCTGCAGGTCAGGCATACAGGACAGAATGTCAGCTAACACTTTGACAGCACTCCAGCTTTTTTTCTTTCTTTAATTAGGGTCCCCATTAGTCTCTGCCTCTGCAGAGACTACTCTTCCTGGGACCCAATACACAAAATAAAACTTCAAAACAAAACAACACAATCAATAAGCAAACACATTTAAAATGAAAGTATAATTAAATATGTCATTAAAATTAAAAGTCAGTGCAAACATCAAAAACAAAGAACATCCATTTCAAAAAAACCCAAAACATAAATCAACTGGCTTAAAACTCTTACAAAACACTTAACAGAAGACATAAAAAAAAAAAAAACACTGTAGAGATTGGTACAACTACTCTTCTTATAACCACTGTTATAAGGAAAATTCACAGGTTCTYCTGTTTAAGGAAGAAACACCCTTTCTGTGTAAATATGAGGATACACAAATAAGTCAGACTTCATCATTTATATACAACTTATTGTGAACAATCAAATTTTACTGAGTTAAAACATCAACAAAAACAGGTATGCGTCCRCACTAATTAATGTTGATATGACAACTCTAACWGACACAGCAGAACTTCAGGTTTAAGGTCTTAATAAACCAGATGTTTGCAGGTAGATTAAACTGATATGGCAATGTTTAAGAGATAAAAGGAAAGGAGGAATGTTAGCCCTAATGTTTTAACTTATCAATTTGTGAGAAAACCAGAGCGAACACTTGGTCTCTCCGACGTGTCATCCCGAACTCCGGTCCACTTGTCAAAACATTCAGCTTTTACCTGGAGGTGTCTTGACCATCAGGTTAAGCGTTTAGGAAGCATTTACMCAGGTTGGTAAGAAACTCCGGTCAGGTCCCTTACTTCCAGTAAAAAAACCTTCCAAAGTTTTGATTTGTCAACGTCTCTGAAGATCTGCTTTAGTCCAAAGGAGAGAATCAGATCCGATTTGGCCTTCTTATCAAAATAAAAGACTTCTCATCAGAAGTTTTAAAACAAAACTTAATGGAGCTTCAAAGCTGGTTGTTTTGATCACGACTGAAGTTATCGTGAGCCGAGGCAAAAGATTTGCTCATTAGCAAAAGAGTCAAATCTGATTGCCAAATGTTGATTTTTCCTGCGGAGGAAAAACAGCTTCTCTTAGTTAGACAAAGATGGTGTCTTCTGTCTGTCTGTCTGTCTGTCTGTCAAGAGACTTGTCCCAGGGTTGGTTTCTAAAAGAAAAATGAACACTAGGGACATGGCCTCGACTTTTGGGTTAGTTAGCAGGGAGAATTGGAAGTTTAGTCTAGGCACTGCCATAAGCCTAATAACATCTGCACCTGCACAGAAAAACATGTTCGAACCTTGACAGGA